ATTGATACTAAGAGTATTGTTAATCTGTATTATAAAATGGTCATACGAATGAAAAAAAATGCAGGCTCAATCACACACGAGTGATAAAATTACTCACAAGTGAATCAAACTAGAAAAGAAAAAAAATGATTCAGCCAAAAATCCATCGTGAAGTTGGGATCCTGGTGGCTTTGTTGGATCTTGCTATAAGGATGGAGAGGTTGGTCTGTGTCTTGTGACTGGTGCTGAAGAGGGCAACCGGGTGATTAGCAGTAATCGACGATGGAATCATGGAAGGATGTAGCGGCGTGGTATAGAGGTGAGCTCGACGTTGCATGGTAGCAGCCATCCATCATATAGTAAGCACGAAGAAAATGCAAAAACATTATCGTTCGTGTCATAGAGACGACGAGCGAAAGAAAAATAGCAAACAACTTCCATCATCGACGGACTCCACACTATCCTCTGCGGACAGCCACATGAAGCATGATGTGCAAATGTAGGACCTGTGCAGCCCATCAATTCAGATCAGGTAATATTGGAGATTGCACGTTAATTTGGTTTGCAAAAATAAATTGGGGCTTCATGCGTGAAGGTGAATGAGAGTATGCATGTAACATTGAACATATGAGATGAATGTGGAATAAGGCATGATTGTGCACCATAAGTTTATCTTTGACTCTTTGCGGATCAGGGTCACATATGAGATGATGATTATGGGCTGATTTGGTTTGAAGCTAAAACTTGCCATACAAATATTGGCATTTTTAATAGTAATTCTAGTAATATTTGGCTTGCTACCAATACTTGCAAACACCACGTAGATATTGTCAAAAAATATTGGCATTGGCAAAAACTTACCTATGTTTTGGTATTATCAATATTTTGGTATGCTTGCAAACCAAACAAAAGCCTTAATGTCATCCTTGGCTATCATCCACCCCCTTACAAGAACGGATCGAAATCACAAATCAATGCACAATTATCAAGATATGCTACAAAGGCCTTGTTTAGAACCACCGGCAAATTTTTTTTCCCTGTCACATCGAACGTTTGAACATATGTACGGAGTATTAAATATTGATAAAAAAAACTAATTACATAGTTTGCGTGTAAATTGCGAGACGAATCATTTAAGCCTAATTGCGACATGATCTGACAATGTGGTGCTACAGTAAACATTTGCTAATGATGGATTAATTAAGCTTAATAAATTCGTCTAGCAGTTTACATGCGGATTATGCAATTTATTTTATTATTAGTCTATGTTTAATACTTCAAATGTGTGTCCGTATATATAATGTGACACACCAAAACTTTACACACATATCTAACCACCCCCATAAATACAATGACTGCCAGGTAAATTCTTTCTTTCTTTAGAACTTTTCACCTCGAGGACCTCAACTCCTTCCTCATCACCAATTGTGTTTTGTCTCCTCAGTGTGCCCTAAGCCATCATCTAAAGAGTGAAAAATGTTGTTCCAATCAAAATAAAAGGACCATTCCCGCCCATTTGAAAAGGCTAGTTATTTTCAAAAGCCAAAATGGACAGATTAAATCTCCATTTAGGGCTCCTGTGGAATGCGTAATAAGAAAAATTAATTTAGAAATTCAGAGGAATATGAAGGAATGCACATGTAAAACAAATAATTTCAAAATATAGGAAGTTTGGAACACAAAATTTGGCTAACTAATTATATTAGTAGTCAATATGTGCTCAACTTAAAGTCATTTGGTGTTATATGACACAATTTGCTTGGACTTAGCGAAGGAAAGAAAAAAGATGTCAAGATGGATGTTCAAATTGTGTTCAAATTCTTGTATAGTTGAAGACGAAGAAAATATCCTCTGTTTTTCCTACATACAAAACGAAGGAAGAATGCCGATCTTTTCCCCAAATGATTTGAAATATATCCTACAATCCAAATGAGGCCTTAGGGCATCCACAATGTGGTGTAAAAATAGTCTGCAAGCAATAGAATATTCCATTCAGCCACCTATTACCACTGTGCAACTAGTCCATATAGAAAATATAGCAAAAGATACCCATATGCATATGGACTACCCATATGCATATAGAGTACCCATATGGAATAAATTATATTATCTATCTCTACTTTTCTCTCTTCTCCTAATGATACCTTGTATCCATATACATTATGGAGATTGCCATAGGGATAAACTATTTATGTGGGTCCCATCTTCTTAGAGGATCCAATGTCCTGCAAATTTCTTTCAAATGGAAAGAAAGGAAAATTCAGCGTCTTGGAAATTTTGCTTTCCTCTATTTTTTCCATACCTAAGAGCTACTTTGAAATACAGGATTACAAAATGTAGGGATAGACAGAATTACAATACTCCAATATGGTAGGCATGTAAAATAGAGGATTAAAAACATAGAAATTCTATGTAAACAGCTATTTGTATGAGGTCAAGGAAAATTATAGGTCCACTGCTACAAAGCTTTGCTTATATTTTTTAATCAAACAACTTTATTAGTCAATGACTGTGCGACTTATTTCCATAGTGTTGTCATTATATGCTTGATTGGCTCCTTCTTCATCCAGGAAAGTAACATAAGTTCAGACTGAATGGGTTTGTTTCCCGTACGTTTCCTATGGAATCGCCGGAGGAGGAAAAAAAATCATTTGTACTGCATGTGACCAAATTTTCAATCCAATTAAAGTTACAGCAATCTAATCCATTTTTCTAAACAGATAATCTGGTCTTTACTTTATCAAAAAGCTACAATCATTCATTACAATGTTCTTAACTTAAATATAGCCAAACGCAAATATAAAACTACAGTGATCCAATCCATAAGAACAAAATTCCTTCTTTTTCCTACAATCGGAAGGAGGCCTAGAAGGCTAGGGGTGGGCGTTCGGTCAGACCGAAAAATTTGGTCTTGGTTTTCGGTCATTTCGGTTTTGGAAACTCATGACCGAATTTCGTAAAAAAAAACTCAGGACCAGTAAATTCGGTCTCGGTCTCGGTTTGACTGAATTTGACAAGTAGCAAAGACTCTATGCAAGCAACAATGGGAAAGTGGAGACGAAGGTTTGGAGAGTGGAGACAGAGGCGGCAGCGGTGCGATGGAGGCGGCGGCGGCGGCGGCGTGATGGATGGGTTGGATTGGAGGCAGCGCTGGTTAGGGCGGCGTGAGGTTGACTTACTCCCTCCCTGCTGCCCTCTAGGGTTTGGTATTTTTACTGAGCTTGTTAGGCCTCCTAGGTCTATTGGATCACAATTCGGTCTTCTCGGTTAATTCGGTTAACTGAAACTAATGACCGAATTGCTCGAAAATTTTTTGGTCTGTTGATGGCTGAGGCCGAACTACTAACCGAGTTTCTCGGTCTTATTTTGTCCACCCCTGTAGAAGGCTAGAAAGCTGCACTCATTTTTTACTAGCAAAATGTCCATGCTTGATGCTTTGCTTATGGTATAAAATAATGCACACACTTATTTAAATATATATATATATATATTATTTACTTGTTTCAAATACATATTTAAATATTATATAATATTAGAAAATATCAAGGACTTTGTAAGACGTGTAAATTTGGTGGGGGGTTGGTGGAGAAACAATATTTAAACTTGAAATGAGAAAATTCACCACCTAGCTGGAATAGCTCAGTTGGTTAGAGCGTGTGGCTGTTAACCACAAGGTCGGAGGTTCAAGCCCTCCTTCTAGCGTTATTTTTATTGGGCCAATAGAATTTTTGTTTCTGGCCCAGTTCAGCCTATTTTTATTGGGCCAATAGAATTTTTGTTTCTGGCCCAGTTCATAGAATTTTTGTTTCTGGTCCAGTTCAAGCCCTCTTTCTCGCGTTTTTATTGGGCCAATAGAATTTTTGTTTCTGGCCCAGTTCAAGCCCTCCTTCTCGCGTAATATTTATTGGGCCTCTTACCTCTATTGGGCTAGGTTTATTGGGCCTCTTACCTCTACTGGCCCAACCTAGCCCACTTTTTATTTTCTGGTCCAACATATTTTTCGTTTATTTTTGTTTCTGGCCCAACATATTGGGCCTCTTACCTCTATGAGCCCAACCTAGCCCATATTTTTATTTTCAAGGCCGGCCTTAAGTCCATTCTATTTTGCCACATATTAGGTCTTCTACCTTTTTCTTGGCTAATTCCTACTACGTATCTTTCTTTAGTCCAAAAATATTTTCTTCTTATCAGGCCTAGTCCAATCTGTTTTTTGAAGGCCGGTCCTAATGCATGCGCTCCCGAAGTCCGATGAAATTACACAAACACAACTTTTTTTCCCCTGGAGAATATCTGTTCCATGCAACTACACAAGTTCAACAATCTGTCATCCAATTTGCTCTCTTCTGTAACATCTATATATACTGAGTTTGATAATTATTCTATTCTATATGATTGGACTACTTACATTTTAAAATTCCTCTTATTAACTTGAAAAGAAATGGTTGACAGCTAATTTGCCCCACTGTAGATTTATAAAATTTATAAAATTCTTTGCGTGGTTTTATTGCAAATTAAACAGATGGAAATCTATGTATCAGAGACAAGACATCCTTTAACTTTCTTGTGCAGCATATGAAAGAGAAGTAACTTACATTAAAGAGCAAAAATATTTTGGGTAGCATATGAAAGAAGATTTATAAGTATAAACAAAAACTAGATAAAAAATATGTACAGCATATCATTTAAAAATATTCCCAATTTTATTGAAAGAAAATACATTTTTTTTGGGTGAAATGAAAGAGGAATCATTTACACAAAATAAAATGGCACAAACAAAATAATTTACGTTAAACTGCAGAAATATATCATGTATATCATATAATTGGTAATACCATATTAAAAAAAATGTGAAAATCAACCCAAACATCTATTTTGTGCAAGGGGGCTTTGAATGTTACTCTTTTTTTCTTTAATAAAGGCAGTTTGGGTATTTCCTAAAAAGCCATCTGGTCCAATGGTACAGAGTGAAAAATGACTCACAAACTCATGGTCTAGTATATAAGGAGGAAATTCGCAAGTCATTGAACAAAGTGAACTCAGTGGCAGAAAATATATTCTCTCTTCCTGAAGAGCTTGGCTCAATCAGATTTAAATATTATTCCCATCATTACATTTTTTAAAGTACAAGAATATCAAATTCATCCTGGTTCTGAATTCTTGATCATCCCCTTTCCCTAAAGTTGTTTGATATATGGCTCACCTACAAACTGAGTAATTACACAAATATTTTCATATCACGACCACTCGAACTAATCGACCCCTTAATTAACTCCACCTTAATTAATAATCACACTCTAATCACAAACTAGCAAACCTCTTCTAAGCTCTACATATTTTCTGAATTTAACTGAACTCTAACACATGCAAATCATTAATATTAATCCATTGTACTACTTCTGCTAGAAGTAGAGCTCGTCCCTGTACACGCAGTTGCTACCACCTTGGCGCCATGCTGGTTCCATCTCTATGATCTCTCCCATGCCATGCTCCTCAAACCCCATCCCAAGTGCCATCGTGGCATCGTTGTTGCCACCCTGGCATGTTCCAAAGTGGGCCCCCACCGCCATGTCGTCACCAGTTGGCCGATGTTCTAGGAAGCTGTATTGCAGCATCGTCAGGTTAAGCAGTGCGCTGCTACTACCGGAGTTGTCGTTGTTGCTGCAGTGGACACCGCTACCACTGATCATTTGGTCCCCACCACCTTGCATGAGTACCATTAATGGTGGCACCGCCGCTGACCGGTGGTCGAACCTGTCCACCACTGTCGGATCGGGCGATGAGCCAAGGAGAGGTGCCATCGTCGTCGGCGAGGAGGGGTCAGTAGAGCCATCGGTGGCACCGGGAATGAAAAGGTCGCTGCCACTGCTTCCGCCACCCTCGGCTTCTATTGTCGATGGCTTCTTCTTGTCAAACACCCTACATAGCACCCAATCCTCCTGCTTGACACAAAAGAATACATAGACCATGATTAATTATTATGTGAATCTGAGCACACCAAATTAAGTAGTAGTGCTTAGCTATTGAAAAATATTTCTACGAGAAAGGTAATATAGAGCTAAGGCACACACCTTAGGTTGGGAGTTAGGTGTTTCAAGGCGGAACTCATGCATGACCCATGTCGTCTTTTGCCCATTAGGGGCACGGCCGAGGTAAAAAACCAGCGTCTTCCTCATCCCGACCACCGCTCGTGTTGTACCCTCATGGACAATCCGGTCCTTCCCCGTGGCCTTCCAGTAACCTGTCTTGGTCGCACGGTTCGTCCGTGACCCTGTCGCATATTTCCGGTCTCTGAAGCTGAAGAAGTACCACTCCTCTGCAGTGAGCTTAGCCACCTCTGAAAAAAGTTAACAAAATAAAAACTAATTAAGCTCTCATATGCATCCAATCATCAGCTAATTAATAACCATTTAGTGCTATGTTACACCCTTCATTAAAGCATCAAAGTTAATAATAATATACATTAGAGATACTAATTAACTGTTGTATCTGTACCTACACTGTAGAGCTAGGTACGTGAGATCATGAGAGAGGGATTGGATACGCTTGCACGTGAAGTGTTACAGCGGTCACTGTTACTGGCAAACAGTGACGTTTTTATAATTCTCTGAGTGGCCCTAGCTAGCTAGAAGTGGACATATAAACAGGTCGTTATTGGTCTCTAGCTTGCGAGACTTGGAGTCTTGTGACTTGTGAGCTAGCTAGCCAAGGAACCATCACGAAATTATTGCCGCTAATTTTATGATTGCTTGCAAGCTATAATAGCTAGCTGATGATCATCTCGTGCACATTCTGTATCTATCTATCTACACCTATAGCTATATGCTTGTGCTCCAAGGAACCCCAAATGATTAACTAATTATCAAACAATTATCAAGGCACCAACACTGTATCTCTCTTGTGTACAGTGAAATTTCGCACCCGATCTCAATTCATTGTAAAAAAAAAAATACAATACTTCTGACTATGTGTCTGGACAAAGTAGGTTTGTAGGGTAAGGTTACCGGGAAGCTCCCATGGCTCGCGGGCGTGAAGGTCGACGTCGACGAGGGTGCCGGAGGCGACGCGGTGGTTGGCGACCTTGTTGCGGAGGTAGAAGCAGATGAGCTCCTCGTCGCTGGGGCAGAATCTGAACCCCGGCGGCAGCGTCGACTCCATCTCCCTCAGCCCGGCCATCGATCTCTTCGATCTCAACCCCAACAAAATCAACTAATCAAACTCACTAATGATCACTCGATCTTTTACTCTCCTAGCTAAAGCTAGCTAAGTAACAATAGCTTGGAGAAGACGAGACGCAGCTAGCTAGAGATATAGCTAAATATGATCTCTTCTTCTTCTTGGGAGGCGAAGCAATGGAGGGGCTTATATAGAGGGGAGAGGGGGCTAGCTAGCACGGGGGTTTGTTAATTAGTTAGATAATTAAGATTTTGGGATGATTTGGGGGTGAGGGGATAGAATTAGATTGAAATGGTCTCTGTCGAGGACGACGACGGCGTCGCCATCTGGCCCAAAAGATGCTCGCCTGATGAGCTGAGCTGAGCTAGCTATATCATATCGATGATCAGCTGAGCTATCACGCTTGTGGGATTTGTCAGAGGCTGCTGCTGCTGCTGCTGGTGGCTAGCTTAGCTTGAGCTTAGCTGCACGCACAGGCCCACTCCTCACAAGGGATCGATCGATCGATCTAATTATATACATTGCGTTTATCTGCTAGGAAAAATAGAGAGAAATGTCCCGGGATCTTCCGGCTAACTCCACAAGGTAACGGGCTAGCCGGTCTGGGTTTGAAGTCTCACCCATTATATTTATTTGATATTAGATCATTTTCTAATATTCGTGTTTTTTCTAGGAAAAATAAATGTCTAAATTATTTCTGCAACCAGCAGAGATCATAATATATATGCCTTTTCCCTAATAATAATAATAAATATGCTTTAGTTTCTCTTTTCATGCACCAAAAACAAGACATACCACGTTAATTGTTTTTAATTCTTAGATGGTTAATTGTTTTTTTATTCTTAGATGGTTAATTTATGACACAAACTGGCTATTTCCTTTCCATTTTTCCTCTCACGAATCTCTAGGCAGATAATTTTAATTTTCTATATGGTCTATGATAACCAACCAAATTAAGGTCCAATTAAATTTTTCATAAACCACATCATTTAATTTCAATTATTTCTAATCTTTTGGCCAACTGATCGAAGTTTGCACATTGTGCAAAATAATTAAAGTAAGTTACGTCATCTAACAACACAAGCTCCATCTTATACACACCTACTACCATTACTATATTTCAGCATTAACCCACGGGGTATTACTAATATAATTACGTAGCGATCAAAACATACTATTATCCAAACCTGCTAAATGTAAGCGGGAAACTAATAGATTTTGTCTATAGCAATATATATATTCGATTTCGAGGACGGACGCTAGCTATAAATGAAGGGAGAAGAGACTAGAAAGTGACGAGACTTCAGGAGACGTGGAAGCTTGTCACACCAAATGATGATTAAAACCAAATCCGATATATATATGTACATACGTATGTGTGTATACTTTCTCAAATTTTAGGGTCGTTACGTGTGTGACAATGTTACATGGCACGTGAGGACTTTGTCACGGGCCGGGCAAATTTTGGGAGAAGCTATAACGGCCTGTTTAGTTGGCAATTTTTTTTTATCTTGCATGTTACATCGGATATACGGACACACGTTTAAAGTATTAAACATAGTCTAATAACAAAATAAATTATAGATTTCGCCAGTAAACTGCGGGACGAATTTATTAAGCCTAATTAATTGGTTATTAGCAAATGTTTACTGTAGCACCACATTGTCAAATCATGGTGCAACTAGGCTTAAAAGATTCGTCTCACAATTTCGAGGCGAACTGTGTAATTGGTTTTTTTAGCTACATTTAATACTCTATGTATGTGTCCAAATATTCGATGTGATATCGTGAAAAAAATTGTTTGGGAACTAAACATGCCCTAAGTGATGAGCAGTTTACCAATTAGCATATAGAAAGAAGACTAAAACCCCACATCTCCGTCGTCTTCTGCCAAGTGTGTAAATATGCCTGACCATATATGCTAGATAGCTTCACCCTTGATACCTTCTTCCTTGCATGCTGGCTGGTCACCTTAATTTGTGCTCGATCCCCTGGTGGCACTACATGTAGTCCCTCCGTTCCAGAATAATATAGTAACAACTTTTCGTGACCATTCTAAAATATAAAAACTCTCACCGATATCTCATTTTTTTTTAAAAAAATCGGGCTGTTTGAGATCTCACTGGGGAAGCAATCAACCATTAGTGATATGAAGGTTGATCTCTAAGTTCACAAACTATGAACCAATACATTCACATCACTGCAACTATTTATACGAACCGTGAGCTTGAGACAACAATTTCTTATATATAGTACAGTATATATTATGTGAAAGCAATATAAAATAAATATTTTTATACACTAAACATACTTATATAGTTTGATGAACGTGGTCAAAATCTACGTGAACTTGAAATTTTAAAAAGCTAGCTACATAAGTAAAAAAAAAGAGATTTAATATCATATTTTTTTTCTTGGAGCATGTCCTAATTCATCAATACATGATCATGAGCGGAGACAGGAGTAGGATAGTTATGGCAGGAGCCCTACATACTCAGCTTAAATACCCATTGAAAAATTACAATTCAAAACTTATTTTAAAAAATATAGGCTAAATTATTGAAATTACAATAGTCCATGGACAAATTCGATCTGGTTCCGCCTCTAAGCACATGTTAGCTGTTTTAAATTAATGCGAAAACATACGAAGACACAATTGAGCTTTGCATATGCTCCTTAATAATCCTCATGCCCCTATAGTACTACTGTCTGCATTGCCAATTGACAGTCATGCTTACATACCTGGCTAGCTTTGTTCAATATAAAGAAGTTTTGCTAGCTGCAAAACTATACTTAACCTAACCTAGCTAACTCAATAACTTAATTTGTTCTATGTTGTCTATATATATATGCCCTAGTTTTTCTATTTTTTGGATGGTTAATTATAGCTTCTTTCAAACAACAAACAACAAAATCTTACTCACGTGACAATGATATTGCCATAACAGCTGACTAGCTAGTTCCCATTAAGCAACACACAAAACACTATAGCAAACTTCCACATGATCTCAGGTTGTTGGACTCTTGTCAGCTTTGGTACGATTTTTAAGCTTCTAAGCGACACGGCTATGCAAAACAAAACACGAAAAAAAGAAGGAAGAAACTAATTAAAAACGTCTCACAAACTAAGATCATCTTAATTAATCAACAATTAGCTAGAATCACACACACATATTTATATATATTGCACATACGAATACACACTACACACACAAACATAAGAAGCCAATAGTACGTGTGCTCGATAATCACGAGACATGCATATATGCAGTGCTCCAGTAGTTAACAACACGTCGCGATTGCGATTAGCAATAAAGAGGGTGATTAGGACGGGATTAATTAGAAAAGGGAAGGGGAATCTCGTCGATCAGATTGCGCTCTACGTCTGTCCAAATCCATGCCCATCAGGCAAAGGTCCTGTGTCGATCGATCAAGCAGCTAGCTGCTGCCTAGCTGATCGATCGATCGATTTTTTAGCGCGTTAATTAATTGCAATTTCTTCTCCTTAATTACTCTGGATGGCGACATTGCAAGAGATTAGCTAATGCTACACTCAGCTAGCTGTTAATGCAATTGATTAGTAGCTCTTGCAAATGCATGCTGCTGTTGGATTTATGTGTGGTTAATATCGTAATCGTGTGTGTGTTCCTGTCAAGTGCATCCATGGATTACCATTAAATTAAGGGGCACTTTGGAACATACATGAAAACTACATACTCTCATGCGTTATTAATTTGGCAGGAATTATATATGCATACGGTTTCGTGCGTACGTAGCTTTATTTGAACCAATATTTTACTTCTCCAGGATTTTTTGGAGTCCATTACTTAAATATAAGCATGTATATATATATATATATATATATATATATATATATATACTGTATATTCGAGTTGTACTGTATTTATATGTCGAATTTGCTATATATTTGTTGATAAATTTTCCTCCAAAAATTTGTCAAATGTAATTACAATACAATCGTAGTGTAATTACACTGTAACTATAATGTAACTTGTATGTAACTTTTAAGAATCTCTCGGTAACATGTTATTTCAGTAAAATAGAGGTCGTGGGAACAAATCCTTTCATATATGTGTGTGCTGTGATTTTTTTCCTCACCAGAACAAATCTTGTAATAGATCTAACGATTCAAAATTACGTGAAACTTACGTACAAGTTACACTGTAGTTACATGCAAGTTACAGTGTAATTACATACAAGTTATAGTGTAATTACACTACGATTGTACTATAATTATATCTGTTAAATTTTTAGTAGAAAATTTATCGATAAATATATAGGTGGTCTCTTTATATGTATACTCCCTTTTCCTTACCCAGAAACTAGACACGTGAATGCGCTAGATGCTCCCTCCTCTTATTCCATGCATTGCGTCTATTTGTGCATGTTTGCCATGAGACTCTGGAGAAGGTGCGTGTGAGGTGACTCTGTTAGGGTGAGTTTGAATTTACCATTTCATCTATTGTTTTTCACGTGCATGTTTTCTAAATTAGTAAACTATATTTTTTTGCAAAAAAATCCATAGAAAAGTTACTTTCATATTATTATTTTTTAATTTTTAGCTAATATTTGATTAATCATGTGTTAATTCATCGTGCTCCAGTTTGCATGCATGGAGGATTAATTAGTTTCCAATCCACAATAACGAACACAACCCTAATAACCCTACTAATTAGTGCTTGGAGCAGATCATTGAATTCATTTTGGTGCTTGTATGTACAATTAATACCGGTGTAACAGAGTCAGTAGGGGGTTTCTTGTAGTGACCTCACTGTCAATACCCAAATTTAGCTTCTAAAGTAAGAAATAGGTAACCATAGATAAATTTGGAATGAACTTAGATTTGTCACGCAAGGCCAGTCTGATCGAAACCATTGGGCCGGTCAAACCGGTGTCATGTGGCTGGTCAGACCGGTGGTGTTCGACTCCAAGTCCGATTTGTCGGTTCTCGGGTTTCCTTGTTAAAGCTTAAGATTTTAAAGTCTTAATTGGTTTCTACACCTAATTAGACGTGAAAAAAACCTAGGAAATAAGTTTACCCTTCCTATAAATATAATGGGGCTAAGGCCGACTGAAAAAAACAATCAATCATCAAAATTAACTTATTTAGCCAAACCCTCTATATTCTACATCTACCTCCATCTTGCTACCTATCCCAAAGTCTATTCTCCTCAAATTTCCAATTGCTCGTCGTCTCTCGTCTCTACGGTGTTAGAGGACGTTCTAGCTGACCTGCTGAACATAGGACAAACCGGCGCGCGTTCGCCCAAACGAGGCCCCTCCTAG